ATCTTTTTATATACACATGTATATTACTGAACAGGAATATGAAAAAGAAAATATTCAGGTACATGAGATAGGAATAATTGAACCCAAATGACTTGATATTGTTTGGGGCCCGGAGAGGCTGTGGGAATGATGTTGAAAGGACTTTAAAAAACAAATCAACTCAACATCATTAGTCATCAGGGAAATGCAAATCAAAACCACAATGAGATACCATTTCATACCTACTTAAAAAAAAACAAAAAACCAAACCTGTTGTCAATGAGTCTATTCCAACTCATAGCAACCCTATAGGACAGAGTAGAACTGCCCCATAGAGTTTCCAAGGAGAGGCTGGTGGATTCGAACTGACAACCTTTTGGTTAGCAGCCGAATGCTTAGCCACTGTGCCACCAGGGCTCCTTCACACCTACTAGGATGACTATAATCAAAAAGACAGACAACAGTAAGTGTTGATGAGAATGTGGGAAAATTGAAAACCTTGTACACTGCTGGTGGGAATATAAAATGGTGCAGCCTATTTGGAAAACAGCCTGGCAGTTCTTCAAAAGGTTAAACATAGAGTTACCAGATATATCTAGCAATTCCATTACTAGATATATACCTGAGAGTAATTAAAACATGGCCACACAAACACTTGTACATGAGTGGTCATAGCAGCATTATTCATAATAACCTAAAAGTGGCAACAATCCAAATGATGTCCTCAACTGATGAATGAATAAATAAAATGTATATCCATATAATAGAATATTATTCAGCAATAAAAAGGATTGAAGTACTGATACCTGCTACTATATGGATGAACCATGAAAACATTGTGCCAAGTGAAAGAAGCCAGACACAAAAGATCACGTACTGTATGACTCCTTTTATATGAAATGTCCAGAATAGGCAAATTCAGAGAGACAGAAGGTAGATTAATTCTTGTCAAGGAATGGGGGCAGAGAGGTAGAGGGAGTGGGGAATGACTGCTAAAGGGTATACAGTTTCTTTTTTGGGGTGATGAAAATATTCTGGAATTAAATAGTGGTGATAGTTGCGCAGCTTTGTGAATATACTGAAAACCATAAAAGTGTACACTTTAAAAGGATGAATTTTATGGTATGTGAATTATATCTCAATAAAAAAGAAAAGAAGTGGGAAGTGGAGAGATGAAAAGAAGTAAAAAGTAAAGGGGTAGGGAGACCTGCATGAAAGAGCCTAAGAGCAAAAGTAACAGAAATAGAAAAAGGAGAGGAAAAAAAGGAATTCTAAGGGACATAGTGTAGGCGAATGCCATGTGAATGGGTATAGAGTTCACTGATCAGCAGTTTCAACTAGAAGTCAATGCAAACAGATCTGATGCACAAAAAGTAAAAGGCCTTGCTCATTCAGATAAAACACAATGTGGAAACTAAGTTTTAAATGTGCATTACCAACACCTAGTGCAGTACAAAGGACATGTTAGGTGTACAATGATTATAGGTTGAATGAGTCAAGTGTCGAATAAAAGAGACACAAGTATAAAATCAAAGAAGTTAAATAAAAGCCCTATGATTCTAAATTTGCATTAGAAATATCAGTATGAGTTTGTAAGATATTTTGTACTAACAAAAGGGAAGAAAAAAAAATATTTTCTAGCTTTGTCCACTGAAAAGGCCTAAGATGAATGACCTACTTAATAGCAATTAGTATCCCTAGCACCCAGATTGGGGTCTCTAAATACCAGTTCTCACCAAAAGAAACCAGAAGTTTTTAGAGAAATGTCTGGTTCCAAGCTTGGAGCAGGGAATGTACAAGTTGAGCCTAGAACAGTTTGTTACTGTAGAAAGCAAGGAAGATATCAAAGATGACTATGGTCATATCAAAAAGATACAGGAGACCAAGAACACAATAGAAGGTCCCAGTTGGAATGGGAGAAAAATGTAGAACAAAACTCAAATTCACAAAAAAGACCAGACTTACTGCACTGATAAGAGACTAGAGGAACCCCCAAGACTACTGCCCCAAGATACCCTTTTAACCTGAAACTGAAGCCACTCCCAGAGGTCATCTTTCAGCCAAATATTGGCTTGTAAAATAAACAATAAGACCTGTGAGAAATGTGCTCCTTTAAACAACCAGCTATAAGAGATCAAATGGTCAACATTTACCCAAAAGCGAAGATAAGAAGGCAAAGAGGGACAGGGAAACTAGATAGATGGAAACGGGGTAGGTGGGGTGGAAACGGTAAGAGTGCTAGAGATTGTAACCAATGTCACAGAACAACTTGTGTATGAATTATTGAATGGGGATCTAATTTGCTGTGTAAAGTTTTACCTAAAACACAATAAAATATTAAAAAAAAAAAAAGATACAGGAGCCAACTTGAAGGGGCTCCCATTGATGGTACAGTATGATCACTGAAAACAATAATAACTGCAATGGGTTGAAACATATGAAACATGTTGAAATCCATGAGCTCATAATATTTTTGTTTAATTTTAAAAAAATGAACATATACAAAAGTCAGTTAACTGTATTTGTGTGAATCTATTTCTCGGCTCTCTATTCTGTTCCACTGATCTTTTCTCTGTTCCTTTGCTTTCCCATATATACCAGCAATGAACAACTGGAATTGGAAATTAAAAACACAACACGATTTACATTAGCACCAAAAAAAGAGAAAGAAATACTTAAGGTACATAAATCCAACAAAATATATACAAGATCTATATGAGGAAAACTACAAAACTCTGATGAAAGAAATCAAAGAAGATCTAAATAAATGGAGAGACATTCCATACTCACGGATTTAAAAAAAAAAAAAACCCAACCCCATTGCTGTCAATTCCAACTTATAGTGACCCTACAGGACAGAGCAGAACTGCCTCATAGGATTTCCAAGGAATTGGTGGATTCGAACTGCCAACTTTTTGATTAGCAACCGAGCTCTTAACCACTGCACCACCAGGGCTCCATATTCATGCACAGGAAGATTAATATTATTAAGATGTCAATTCTTCCCAACTTGATCTATAGATTCAACACAATCCCAATCAAAATCCCAGCATGTTATTTTATTCTAAAGCTTATATGGAAAGGCAAAAGACCCAGCCTAGCCAACACAATACTAAAGAAGAGCAGAGTCAGAGGACTGACACTACCCAGCTTCAAAACTTATTATAAAGCTATAGTGATCAAGACAGTGTGATTCTGGCAAAGGAACAGAGAAAAGATCAGTGGAACAGAATAGAGAGC